AGTGATAAAACTTTCGAAAACTATAGTTCAATATATATACAATAATGACGCTAAAACCGAAAATCAGGAAAGCAAAACTTTTTGTTCTATAAGGTTTTATACATTCATCGGCATCTGAAACTCGAGCAGGAGTTTTGGCTCCTTATGACATCATGTTGTATAACAAATTTTGTTCAAATATCTTTTCTAGTTCCGGAGGTACAAACATAAATTGATTTTTTCATGAAAATTTCCACACCCCGTATCTTTTAAACGGTTAACAATTGCATAACAACATGTGAGGTTTTTCTTGTCGCAAATGGCGTCCTCTATCACCCAGAGCAGTTTGATCCATGACTTACTGGACACCCTGTATGTATTTTTATAAAATATTCCACCACGGTAGATTAACCAGCACAGTTACCTACAATTAAAAAAAAAAAAATTAATTTTCAGAGTTTAGATCCTAAGCTACTTAACATTTTGCGCCTGTTAGCCGCAGTCGTACATTATTCAACATATCAACATAAAACAAAATTGTACGTGTGGGGTAAACCTTTAACTTTTCATTTTCGAGCGCGAGCTCCGCTCTTCGGTGCTTGTATACTATTAGAAATATGCAACAGTAAATTTAAACAATTGTTTACTTAAAGTTAAAGGTTTACCCCACACGTACGTTTTTGTTTTATGTTGATATGTTGAATAATGTACGAGTATGGCTAACAGGCGCAAAATGTTAAGTAGCTTAGGATCTAAACGATGAAAATATATATTTTTTAAATTGTAGGTAATGGTGCTGGCTAATCTACCGTAATGGAATATTTTATAAATATAAGTCCAAAAATTGAAAAAACGGTGACGTATAAAACCTTACCAAAACTGAAAAAATGAAGATACTTGAATTTTGCGCAAATTACTTTTGGTTTCTGCATATTTACACTATGTGTGTTCCAAATTTCAAGTGTCAGCAAAGCTTCGAACAAATTTGGCAGTTTCGAGTTTCAGATGCCGCTGAATGTATAACACCTTATAGAACAAAAAGTTTTGCTCTCTTGATTTTCTGCTTTAGCGTCATTATTGTATATATATATTGAACTATAGTTTTCGAAAGTTTTATCACTTTTTGTTTATAATTGACATTTTTACAGCAACTTTAAGAAATTGACGTTTTATACCGTTTTTTCAATCTCACGCCTTTCTTATTACAAATTTCGTAATCGGACCACGACATTTTGTAGCTATTTTTATTACGAACAAAATCATGTCCTAAGCGTTTTTTCGTACAAAGTCATCCCGCTGAGTTATTTAAAGAAAACTACTAAAAAAAAATGTTTCACTATTAAACTGTTAATAACTTTTTCCTGATAAAATACTTTGTCAGCAAATTAGCCTGTTATACAATAATTTATCATTTAAAGTAGGCCTGTGTAGTTATTTCCGGGTTATCAAGGTTTGATACAGGCTGAACCTCTACCAACTGGAGATGTGCGGCTAGTGATAATAATATTCCTAGGGCAGACCTAGCAAATCTAAATATTTAATATCTTAATTTAAATTATGGTGAATATTACCTCAATGCATAGTTTAGCTAAAGTTAAATACATCGAATAAGTACAGTGTGTTTATTTGTTTTGGATTTTTTTTACTGTGTATCAAACTGTTCGTTTAAAAAATTAGTTTCCGAAAAAAAATTTCTTTCTCATGATTTTTTTATAAACATAAAATTTTATGTCAATGAGACTTCTGCGACCTCTCCCGGGCCCTATTTTTCCAAGAGTTCCGTCCTTTGTATTCCTTCCCTCAACCCCAACCCTTCTTTCCAGGTACGAATGCCTCTTCAACAGAGACGACGCCGACGGCTGGGACGTGCGCCAGGCTATGAACGACCTCACGGGCTACGACGCGGTCCCCGATCCCAAAGTCATAATAGCTGCCTTGAACGCCTGCAGACGCATCAACGAATACGCCTTGGCCGTACGTTTCCTGGAAATGGTGAAAAACAAGTGTGGCCACGACGTCGAGAAGATTTACCCGTATATTATCCAGGAAGTGGGGGGTACCGTTGCGGAACTGGGATGCGATTTCCCGGAAAGTTTGGGCTACGACAAGCCGGAACTTTGGATGCAGTCGGTATTTGACATGTGAAGACTTGTTTGCTTTGACACCCGATGTTCTTTTCGTATTTCCGTTTTTCCTTTTCCGTGCTAGCCTTTCACGTTCCGTCTTGTTCGTGGTGTTTAATTTTTTTTTAACATATCTTTCTATATTAGTACGCGGTTATCATCATTTGTGTAAGTTATCGACATGAGACGTGTACTAAGAATCTACATCAAGAACGAAGAAATCATTGCTTCATTTTAATGATGGGCAATGTTTCATAATAATCGAAACATTGCTTAAAATCGAAGAATTAAGTTATTTATCTTGATGAACTGTAAAGCAGCTTTTTGGATTCAGTAAATAGAGAACACCGCATTCTATTTCATTTTATGTACCTATTCATCACTCCGTGACCGATTCCATTAGTTTGTTTTGTTTTCTTACGTTAATAAATAACTTCTAAAGTAGTATCATTGAATGTAATTGTGAAGTGTTTCAATCTTTAATCAGCATGTATTTTCAGTTTTTACAGTTTAGTCCAATCAGTTGGAAGTTTTGCCTGTGAAGTTTTAGGGGAGTTTTGAAAATTGGAATATTTATAGATTTTGACGTGCTTTTTCCGAATTTTTACTTTGCCACCTCTTTTTTCCGGAAAAATGGCGCTCCAAAACGGTTTTTCGACGATATTTCCTTCCGACTCACTTTACGGTGAAAATAGTTATGTAATAAATTAAACTAGAGAACATTTCCTATAATTTATGTATCAACCTTTTTTCTGTGAAATGAATTGTTTCGGCGTACGAGCGCCGCAAAGTCTGCTCCAACACGCGTATTGGCCAACAAACTCATTTCCACACCACCATGAGGTAGAATTCCTGGCGCGTTTTTTTTTAGAAATATCCCCAGTAGGCCTAATCCACATGCAATGCACTGTTGACTAAATTTAGTGCATTCTCCTTCGCTTCGCTATCCCTGATGGACCAGGTTTTGCAAGTTCTTCGTATTCAGAACTGAGCAAAACCTCACGGATAGGAAGTTCTTCTAAGTTATCCGCGATAGGGTTATCTTCTTCGACTTCATCACCTTCTTCTTCGATTTCGTCGAAGATTTGCTGAAGAACTGTCTCCGTGTCTTCATCTTCATCACTGTCTTGCAGATTAACATCCGAATTGTCACAGTTGGAAAAAATGCAGAGCGGTGGGGATGAAAAACAAGCAAGAATGTGCTAATTCCTTGCAAATGTAGAAAAGGATATCGGGGAACCTGTTGATGCAGAAAGGCTGGACTAAAGTGCTCAGTTATCTGCGCGAATTGCAATGGTAGGTACCTGTGACAATTCGGATGTTGATCTGCAAGACAGCGATGAAGAGGAAGGTACGGAGACAGTTCTTCAGCAAACCTTCGACGAAATCGAGGAAGAAGGTGATGAAGTCAAAGAAGAGAACCCTATCGCGGATAACTTAGAAGAACTTCCTATCCGTGAGGTTTTGCTCAGTTCTGAAGACGAAGAACTCGCAAAACCTGGTCCATCAGGAATAGCGAAGCGAAGGAGAATGCACTAAATTTAGTCAACAGTGCATCACATGTGGATTAGGCCTACTGGGGATATCACTAAAAAAAACGCGCCAGGAACTCTACCTCATGGTGGTGTGGAAATGAGTTTGTTGGCCAATACGCGTGTTGGAGTAGACTTTGCGGCGCGCGTACGCCGAAACTATTCATTTCACAGATAAAAGGTTGATACATAAATTATAGGAAATGTTCTCTAGCTTAATTTATTACATAACTATTTTCACCTTAAAGTGAGTAGGAAAGGAAATATCGTCGAAAAACTGTTTTGGAGCACCATTTTCCCGATATGGCGGCTACTTCCGGAAAAAAAAAGGGGTGGCAAAGTAAAAATTCGGAAAGATCACGTCAAAATCTATAAACATATAAATTTTCAAAACTCCCCTAGAACTTCACAGGCAACCCCCTTTTTGAACGCCAACTGATTGGACTAGTTGTTTTATACTTATAACGTCTGTTCCATGGATAAGACTTTATGGTGTTGCCCTTATATGTATATGTATTTAGAATTTAAAATCTGAATCTGCCATGAAAAGCTCCATCATTTCCTGCTTTTTTTAATTGCCAGAAACTCCCTAAAACCCAACAAGTAGCCAAAACTGCTTCAATATGATTTCTTCTTGGGCGCAGAATCAACCTTTGCAACCCTTCAGCTTCGAGCGACCATCAGAAAACCACCTCCAAAAGCTAAAAGTCATTCTGCAATCGATGTATTCAAGTAATAAACTCAAACCACAAAACTCTCTAGTGAGTGAGATTCACACACCCTTCACAGCAGATAAATAATTGACGCAAGCTTATTTACTAGGTCATGAACTTCAATTCGTAACTCACAGACATTATTATTTACATTATGATTAACTCAACTCAATACCGCAAGCATATCTCGAACATACGAAGACAAAATCGATTATGTAAACCAGTAGTTCTTAATGCATATCAGGGAACCACCTACTCCCCGAAGCTTCTAAATATGCTATAATTTTAGTTATAATTTTACATTTGGTGGGTTTTTCTTTCTCTTGAAAGGAGTTTATGTACACTCTTGGTATAACTAATAGTCCAGGCGGTAGAGCAGTAAAAGTAGGCTTTTGCGTTTGTATTTGAGGTAATCTATTTTGTTACAGAAAAATCCCAAACATTATGTAGAATAAGAATCCGAGTTTTAGTCCAGGCGGTATCTGTTTTAAAAAGGGTTTAGGTACTTGGGTAAAACGCATATGATCGGAGATTTTTGCTTTAACGGCTTCTAAATAACATCAGAAATGATAATTTTTCTATGCAAATAAAAAAAACGTGGGCATAATTTTTATTGCAAAAAAGTATAAAAAAAATTCATTTTCTTCTTGCATTTCTCGTCGACAACTTACCAACTATTCATTTTAGACAAAAATGGAAAAGGAAAAAAAGTTTTGTAATTAAATTTCGATCAAGATAGAGTTAGTTGCAATTCGAAAAAATAATTATTGTTATTTCAAAAATCGGAAAAATCATTTAAAAAATTGCTAAAATGCTAGTTTATTTGTCAATTTTTTTGAGACACTTGAATAATACTTAGGATCTTCATACTTTTCCCAATTAAACTTAGTGCATAGAATAATCACACCAAATTTCATCCAATTCGGTTCGATAGATTTTACATAATACCTAATTGTTTAATTTTTTTTTAAATTAAAAAATATTCAAAATCAAATTTCTAAAAATCTAAAGCCTTTGAATAATTGAAAATTTCACCACAAAAAGAAGAGCTCTCAAACTTTAAAATGGTTTTTGAAAAATTCAAATCTGACCATTAGGTGAGCCCATTATTTTTAGGAGTTATAGCCCGTTAAAGTTAACCCCTATTTACAGCAAAACTATAAGGGTATAAGGGCTGTTTTTTGAACTAATAGGTTTGTCATTCCGAGTACTTTCCAGATATAAATTTTCAAAATTTGCAATCACGGGCGTCCCATTTAAAATGTCACTCAAAGATATTCAAGACCGCGTGAAATCAATGAAATATCAGTGGTGGGGGGAGCAAACACACAGCTACTCCGATCTGAATTCTCGAGTTCAAAAATGCTCTGAGTATTGCACCCATTACCAAGGGCAAATGTGTAAAAATGCAAACAAAACAGTGGAAGTAGACGAGTTCGAAACCGATTTTGAAGAAGACATTTCAGAAGTATGAAGATGCTAGGTATTATTCAAGTGTCTGAAAAAAATTGACAAATAAACTTGCAGTTTTGCAATTTTTTAAATGATTTTTCCGATTTTTGAAATAACAGTAATTATTTTTTCGAATTGAATTTAACTCTATCAAAATTTAATTATAAAACTTTTTTCCTCTTCCATTTTTGTCTAAAATGAATAATTGCTAAGTTGTCGACGAGAAATCCAAGAAAAAAATGATTTTTTTACTATTTTATACTTTTTTGCAATAACAATTAAGCCCACGTTTTTTTTTATTTGCATAGAAATATTATCATTTCTGATGTTATTTAAAAACCGTTAAAGCAAAAATCTCCGATCATATGCGTTTTACCCAACCCGAAACAGATGCTGCCTGGACTATTTGCTATTCCAAGAAACCATTGCTAAATTCAGGGGAATAACAAATATACAAAAAGAACGAAAAATGACCCGTTTTTGGAGATATTTTCCGTGTAACATTGAAAGTCAAAAAAAGTTTTTCATTTTTTGTTTATTTGACGATTTTCTATAAAGTTACAACAACTGCATATCAAGTTGAATTTTGCATGGGCGAAAAATAGAAAATCATATGTATATTTGGAGAAATTTTTAAAATAAGTAAATATTTATAAATATTGATGAAACTTTGTGAACAAATAGTAAAACATATATGTTAATTCTACCCTAAAAATTTTGCAACGATCGATCGTATGGTTTTCCATTGACAGGATTGTTAATTATGAAAATTACAAAAAAGTTTATCGCACGCCGTGAGTTTAAATTAAGGTTTAGAAAGGGCACATATAAAAACTACTTCGTAACCCCCTGCTTTTTAGCCAAATACAGCATTTTATTATGTAGATAAGATATAGAAGCATAAAGTTAGTAATAATTTATAGCTTACGTAATCGTGAAGTTGATAAAAGAAAATGCGTTCACACGATAAAAGATTACTTTTCTCGGGAACGGTAGCACTTATCAAGACGATTTTTTTTTTATAATTTTATATAGCAAAATAAGAGAAATGCGAATATGTCATCAAAAATCAATAATAATTTTTGCACGAATTTTGAGTTTAAAGAATGCCACTTTCGTTTGCTTTTAAAAATTAGTTATATTATGGTAATCAAGTTTTATTAGTTTGTTTTCATCAATGCATTCCACGAAATTCACGTTTTAATGATTAAATTAAAAAAAAATTATTTTCTTATTTCAATGATCTCTATTAATTCATTGTAGTATAACAAATTTTTTTTCAATATCTCAGAATCTGCAGAGTAGAATGCTTTTGCTAAAAAGCA